CTTGTTTGCAGTTGGAGCTCTGCCATGAGTTCCGTGCTTAGCCAGGCTGGTGCCACATCTGCTTGTTCTCCTGGGTGTTAGGATGTTGGGAAACAAAAGATGCTGTATGTGTAGTGTTGACTCATCCCAGGGGGTCAGAATATACCCTCTTGGTCACTTGCTCTGCCAGTCCTACCGTGCCGCACTGGTGCGTTGGCATAACCCTTGTTCTGGAGGTTTGATGCGAGGGCGCGTGCGTCTCTCTCGGGGTTGATGTCATGGTGTGTCCCAGCTGCACGGAAGTGTAACTGTGCTAGAGAGCCCGTGCGAGGCACATCCGAGCGCTTTGGATCTGTTCTCATCCTCTGAAACTACAGAGTCACCGCTTGGAATTCTGCTTTTTCAGCACGTTGATGTCTGGTGTTTGGACATGGTATTTCTTGATGCATTCGTACATATTTAAGCTATGTGGTTATCACAGCACATTTTGTAAAGCCAAACAAACGAAAAAAAACCAAAACAAACTCTTTTTCCAAGATGCCGCATCCTCCCCTTAGTGACATTTGAGGAGATTTCTTCCATTCTTCTGTGCTGTTTACTTGGACTTTTAAAATTTAATCTCAAAACACGGTTTCCCAGTTCAGAAAAAAATTCTAAACTAATATGCCTTCATACTGAGGTGCTCTGACATAGCAGGAGCCAGGTTTAAATTTTGGTTTTCTTGAGAAGGATGGGATGGGGAGAATCTGTGTAGGCTGCTTTCGAGGGGGCAGCTAGTCTGTAGTGAAGTGGAAAATAATTACTAGCTCTGGTCTTCTATTAACTCCCCAGTGAAACTGGAGTTGTCAGTTAGTGGGAGGGGAATAAGAAACGAGTAACTGAAGCGGTGCGTCTGGGGAGCTGGGAAAGGAAGGAAGGACATGGACAGAAACCCAAGTGATGCACAGAAAGAAAATGAGTGCCCTCTTTCATGAAAGGGCTTTTTATCGTGGAAACAAAACTGGCTTCTTTCTGCTGAAGGAGTATAGTAGTTTGCTTAAAACTAGGTTTTATGATCACTTTGTTGATTGTTCATCCAGATAAGGACCTGCTTGTTTCTTTTTTTTTCATCTTTGTCTCTTGAGTAGATTTGCATTTATGTATATGCAAACTTTTTTCAAAAAGGTTTTTTGTAAAGATTTTTTAATTACACTAAAATAGTTTGAAAAGTGTCACAGTACTGCCTTCTTTTGCACGATAGGTTTCCAGCAGGCTTTTAACATCATGATAAATCAAATAACTGGTCTCTTTACCTGGGATAAACTCTTGATATCAATCATATTGCGGTGTAAATGCCTATTCCTTACATATTTTCTGGCATGCCCTAGAAGGAAGGTAGTTTGTGCTGTGTAGGAGGAGGGAATATGGAGGAAAATTGTGCAGCAGAGACCCATTCCTGCAGAGTGATCTGTCAGGGGAATGGTGGAACATGCCACTTGCACTGATGGGACTGTCGTGTGTTAAATATCCAGCCTGTTTAGGGATGAAAACTAGTAACTGAACTGCAGGAGATGGCTGAAACTGATGGTATTAAGTATTTAGAGCAAGGTAAGTTAATATATGTTGTCAATTTTGCATGAGTAGGCTTTTTTTAACACTGAAGGACTGTGAAGTCATCTTGCACTGATGAGGGATCCCTTCTAAGAGGGAAGGTCTGTATTCTAGTTTTTTGTAGAGGAAGATAGGTAATTGATATTTCCTTATCTAGTGGCAGGTAGAAGTTAACAAGACTATGATTTCTGGATTTTAGTATGAATTTACTGTCAAATGCCTACAGAGAATATGAGAAAATCTGGTAATTGCTGTAGTCCTACCACTTTTCGGACCCTTCTTTTTTTTTTTAATCTGTGTCTGTCCCTGTTTACATCCCTGCTCTCTTTTCCAGGGCTTTAGAACACTTTCATGAGGAATAGTCATTGACCACAAGCAGTGGAGAAGGCAGGATTTTGCTCAGATGAAAACAGTAAAGCAGGCCAAGGGGGATATGGTCACTGCTTTTGTGGACGTTGGGGAACAAACACGTGGAAGGATAAGCGTGTGTGAGCTCAAGGGCAGTATTTGCACAAGAACAAATAGATACGAAGTGTGAAGACCTGCATTTAGAAAAGGAGTGTTTGTAGAACGTGCTTTCAGAGTGCCTGGGACAAAAATCTAGCTGCTTTTCCTGTGAACCTTGCTTATGTTTTCAGGAAAGGCACTGCGTAACCACGTGCGGTTTGTGGTTACAGGGACTGGACCCACATCTCGTGGTCCCTTTTGGCCCTGTGTGCCCATGAGTGCTGTTACTTACATACAGGACTAAGCAGCTTGATCTTCCTTGTCACTGATCTCACACTGTGCATAAACATAGAGCCTGGGTGATGTTTTGCAAGAAAGCTGCTGGGTAACAGTTGCCTGCCCAGTGCGTTCTCTTGGAGCTTGTAGCAAGAAAATAGGGAAGGATACTCACTTGCACTGGTCACAGGCTGAGCCCCTGGTCTCCATGACTCGGAGTACTAAAGATGGCCTAATAAATTCATACAGTGTGGAATCCTGCTGCTCTTCCCCTGCCAAGAGAGTAGAGTCCCCCCCTCCCTGTTGGAGTGACAGCCCTGACTGCCAGGGCTCCGTGGTTTGGGCTCGGAGGGGTTGGTCTTGTTGAAGACTGTTTCCCTGGTCTGTAAGCACCTATTTCCATAAACTTGATTAGGATCTGGTTCTGTTCAGTAGTTTGCTGGAATATTCATGTTTATGTGGCTTTCAGGACAGACTGAAAATATCTTTAAAGCAGCTGGTACTCTGAGCCTTCTGAGCAGGTCCAGACCCGTGAGCGGTGCTGGACTCTTCCCACCCTCTTCGGAGGGCGAAAGTCATGGCCTGCTGTCTGCATGGTACTTGTTCCCTCTTAAACTTTGCTTTCTTGATCATATTCTGGAGAAATAAGCCAGGGTCCAAGTGCTAAGCGTTTTTCTAATTGTTAAGTTATTCATTTTCTTAATTGGGGGAGAAGAATCTCGGTTGGTAAGTGATTGTGGACTAACTAGATTTGATCTAAACGATTGACCATCTCTGACTCATAGAACAGAAAATGAAAGTTAGAAAGAGATGAACAAAACCCATGCTGTAGGTACATGTAAGATATGTCTGCAAAACCTTGATCGATGTTATCTGTAGGTCTTTAAAGGATAAAGGTACAGAAGCTGGTGTCTAAGATCCTGCTTTTATTGCATTTATTTGTTTCCTACGGAGTTACATTCTATTTGACTGTCAAAGAGTGATTTCCCATTGCAGTTGTGCAGAAGCGTCTGGCATCATGAGAGCTTCACCTGTGCTGGGGGAGATGTTTTGACACTCCGTCTGTAAGAGAACAGGATATTTCTCCTGTACAAGGGTTGAACACAAAGGGGATTTGACTTCTTTAAGAGCTTTAGCAGACAGTAAGAACAGGCAATGACATTATTTGGGTTTCGATGACTTACTGGTCTATTACAGTTCACAACAAAGCAGACAAATGCAGAGGACGTGCCAGGGAGTTGTGCTGCTGCAGTTGTTCTGCAGTCAATCCGTCATCTGTGCTGGTAGTAATGACACTGGGAGGGTGATTTGGAGCTTCCATCCCTTGCGGCTTTTAGACTCGGAGGTCTCAATTCCTTCAGGAGGCTGGTGATTCTTTTTTTTCAGTAGGTGGAGTTAATGTGCAGTGTCTGTTACAGCCCTTTTCTTCATTTCTCTGACGTTTTGTGCTTGGATAATCCTCAGTTGACTATCTATTATTATTATTTTATTGATTTGGCCGAGGCATGAGGGTATATATTTGATGTTCTGAAATGTTTGGAAAGAAGAAAAAAGTTTTCTTGCCAGCTAAGACTACTGCGAAGCTGTGCTGTGGGATTAAAAAAGGGCTACATTTCAGGAAAGAATCCTCTGCTATAAGGATTAGCTGTGTTTTCTAGTGTTCTCAAGTCTAACACTGAATAAATAGTATATTATAGTATTTATATGCATTTATATTATACTATTATAATAGTATAATTCACTTAAAATAGTATATTGTTAAAGTAAAATAGCACATTCTCCTATGTATGCTTACAGTTTTCTTTAGAAAAAACTCATAGATCTGGCTGAAACAAGAAGTTGTCTGAAAAGGGTGTATCTTTTATTGAATGGGAGTTGCTTTATTGCACTAAGACAGTCTTGAAAGTATTTTAGTTATTTTTAGGTCTACAGTGACAAGAGCCTCTAATTGTTGGGAAATTGCAACCCAAAATGATCTTAGTGTGTAGTGTTATAATTGATGGTAGCATTTGTGGAGGTTGGAGATAAAAGCAGAACAAATAAATATCCTTTGCCTTAAATGCTTTAAGGATTTGTGTTGTTATTCCCAAATTCTTTTTGTAAGAGTTAAGAGTAAACTTAAAGTGATAGTGTATGAATTGTTTGCATTAAAGAGAATTTGTCACTCTTAAGTTTTATCCTGCATTTGGGGAAACTTGCTGCTCATTAGCTGTATGAAGGATTGAAAACTCTTTTTCCTCTTGTCTCCAGGAGTGAAGGTTGGAATAGCTACACAGAAATGAGTAGCCTGATGATTTCTTACCCAGCAGTTCATCCGCTGACACTTTCTCACTTTCTGCTCTTTATCTACAAGAGTTTGTACTTAGTTACTTTAAATCCCTGCCTTTGTTCCACACCCGTTAAGTTTTACAGCGCTGTTCACACTTGGTATTTTAGTCTTGAATTTCTTACTGTTGGTGGATCATCTGCAGCTGTCTGATACACACTGTCCTTGAAGACAGAGGGGCGTCCAAAGTGGGAAATGAAAGAGCTTTGAGTTACTTCCCATGATGTCTGCTAGCCTTGAGAAGCGTCTTTGGCTCAGTTAAATATTTGCTGTGTGGATGATGTTTCTGTTGATTTACTTTTTCGCATTTGCATTTCCTTTAATTTTGAAGGTGATAACTTTCTTTTGTTGGGATTAACTTCAAAAATGTTCTTCCATGTAGGACACAGCTTAGGCTATGGCTTTGTGAACTACGTTACTGCAAAAGATGCTGAAAGAGCAATAAACACACTGAATGGCCTCAGACTTCAGTCAAAAACTATCAAGGTAGGATATCTAGATTTTTTTGTCTTCTATGAAAATGGTGTTCCAATAAACTCCATTCTGGTGGTAAGGCTTGTGTGCTCTCCAACTGCAAGGAGGATAGAATCTGGCAGAAGAGTAGTAGAGTGAGCTGTTAAGCCTCTTGGGTTTTGTAATAGCTTTATATTCAAAGATTCCTTTTTTTTTCATTCCCCTCACTTTTACAGCAGTAGGTGGTAGATACTTGATCTGTGTTTTAAATTGTGTTAACACACATACACTCCTTTATGCAAAATAGCAGCTAGTCCTGTGTGTGGAGGAAACCACACCTGCTTAGGTGATATTTGTAACTCTCTCTAGTAGCAGAAAGATAAAAAACTGCCCTCCAGGTGGTAAAATCTTTTTATGAGGCTTTAGAAAATATATTGACAGCACAAGTTCTTGGTATGACCTGTGGTTACTGACAGGTCCAGTCTGTGAGTCAGAACTTCAGACAGGGATTCTTCAACATAGCAAATATGTTTGTTGGGAGCATTCGTATTAGGCTACTGCCATCTCTTTATAGCAGTGCTACTATATTGTTTTTCTGTTGGATAAGCTCAAAATGAATGGAGTTACACAGGGACATGACTCTTCTCTTTTTGTTCTGGCTGTTTCCCTCTACCTTCTGGTTGTTCTGCTTTTTTGAACTCCAATTAAAAATGCCTGCACTGTTTAGTGGGGAATAAATGAAAGTGACTCATAACAAAACAAATTACTCTTTCCTATTTACACTCTAAACATATATTATTAATTGTTTTTCCTTTTTAAAAGGTTTCCTATGCTCGTCCAAGTTCTGAAGTTATCAAGGATGCTAACTTATATATTAGTGGACTGCCAAGGTCAATGACACAGAAAGATGTAGAAGATATGTTTTCACGTTTTGGACGCATCATCAACTCACGCGTGCTGGTGGATCAAACTACAGGTGAGTTCTGTTGCACTAGCTTTGTAAAACTGTAGTGTGTAGCATGTTTGGTGTTTTTCAGAGACTGGTAGTTTCTAAACTAAATTAGACTTTCACAAACTAACCATGAACATCTGCTGTCAACTACGGAGACAGTTTTAATGGGATAGCCTTTTCCAATGATTTTTCTTTTAAAACACAGAGTGACTTACGCTGCATCCTTTACTAGCTTACAGTCTAAACTCGTATCAGATTTTGTGCTCTTATGGTCAGCTTCACCAGGCTGAGCTGCTGATTTGCCAAATCCACTCTCTTGCTGTGGCACTTGATGATACTGTAGTGCAGTGAGCTGGGCAGTGTTTGTAACCTGGAGTGCTAACGTTGCCTTTACACAAGTGCAACTATTACCTACAGGGAAATTCCAGGCCATAGTTACACATTAAAAAGCAAAACAATAATAGGTTTTGTCTTTTGTACCAATTTGGAACTCACTCATACAATTCTTCATACTTTAAAACGTTTTTGAGGTGTCTCACAGTCCTCTGTGGTTACTGCTGACCAAAAGAATGAACTTAATACACTTAGTACTGCCCTCTTGAATTTTATGAATATGTTTTGTTTATTAAAAAAAATTAGAAAAGCGAGAAGTTGCTTAGTTAAGCACTCAGCTCAGGAGAGACCAAAGTTAAGGAATGTTAATTCTGACTCAGTGTTACAATGTATTTTCACAGAGTTTCAGTTTTTACCTAATTATTTCAGACTGTATAACTGAAGAGTATGTTTTATCCTGTAACCTTAGGTGTTCTGCATTTTTTCCTGTAATTCATATTATGTATGAATCTGGAGAGAACTTCTACAAATATGGTTTTTCATTGATTATGCATGTGCTATATTAGAATAGAAGATAATCTAATTCTAGCAATTCCACATTTAACACGTGTATACAGTAGTATGTACATTTATACACAGGAGTTAAGCAGCGACTTTCATGCGTTGTGAGGAATCTGGTGTAATTCTGAGTAGACCATCAGCAGCTTTTGGTGGGATTAATCTGACTAAATGCTGAAGTCTACAATGCTGAGTGTCTCCAGGGCTAGCTCCTTGTGTAGGCATCTGCTTGTAAGTGTTTTGATTTGGTCAGACTGTAGATGTGATTGTGTGTAAAAGAAATCCGAGGTGACTGGATGAGATCTGGATACTGGTGTTGTAGACACTCCAGCGTAGAGTGAGGAAAATTCTGTCCTTTTTCCAGAGATAAGATTCGTTTTGTCCAGCTGTATGGCTCTGTCTCTAGAGCTGCTTATCTAGGTGACAACTATAGGTAGAAGCAAGAATAAGACTTCTAGAGCACAGAAAACTTGTGCTAATACAAGTGTCCAAAATACTCATCCGTCTCTGGCTGCCAGTGGAGTCTAGATAACTACATCTGTCTTTGGCAGCTGTAAAACGAGATGACAGAAGTCATACAACTAAAAACTCTCCAGGAATAATATCGTTTTCATCGAGCGTGCTGAGGCATGATGCCATCTAATTCAGTGCCAGCTCAGAATACACCACGTGCTTCCAAAAAACCTTAACAATGTATGGTTTGAGGAATGTATTCTGTCCATGTTATAAAGTTTAATGCATGCATAGCCCAGGTTTCTTTTCCCTTCAAGCATGTAGCCATGCCTTGGCTTTCAAACCTGCGTTTCGTGTCTTGATCTAGTCCCAGTTAGGAAAAATTTTAATTTGTGCTTTTAAATATACCCTCTCAGCAGAGGTTGTTCCTTAGCTTTTGAGAATTCATCTGTATAGAAACGTGCTTTCTACAATATTTATAATTTTTAAATGAACACTGTGATAGATCAGGTAGGAAGGGATAAGATGAACAGCATGGAAGTGGAGAAGTAGTAACAGTATGTTGGGCACTGGGATAGTCCTTGCTGACTTCTGGGCGATGCTGCTCTTCCATGCATTTCCAGGGAGGGGCATATGCTTCCTGCCGGCATGGAAAGGCTGGTCTCAATGGTACTGGAGCATATCGTGCCATCAGCTCTAATTTGATGAGCCAGTCTGGTTCAAAAAATGGAATAACTTCTTCACAGGTTGACTCCTGTCCAGATCCCTCTAGACACACCAGCTGCACAGTTGGTACTAGCCATCTCCTGCCATTGTTCTGCAGTTCTTTTCTTTAAAAAGTGCAGTGATTAAGGAAATAGCTTACTCTGTGTGGCTTTGCATACATAACATGCAGTAAACAAGATGAGTTGTTATTTATGGAAATTCTCCCAGTGCCCCAAATGAAAATACACCTTTCCTAGAGACTATCCTATGGGTAGCTGGAGGGGTTGGATTCCTGTTTGCTTACTTGCTGCATGCCCAGGGCATTGTCATGCTGCATTTCCTTCTCTGAAATACAGGAAAGCACAGAACCATAGAATGGTTTGGGTTGGAAGGGAACTCAAAGATCATCCAGTTCCAGCCCCCCTGCCATGGGCAGGGACACCTTCCACTACACCAGGTTGCTCAAAGCCTCATCCAACCTGGCCTGGAACACTTCCAGGGATGGGGCAGCCACAGCTTCTCTGGGCAACCTGTGCCAGTGCCTCACCACCCTCAGAGGGAAGAATTTCTTCCTTAGATCCCATTGAAATCTCCCCTCTTTCAGTTTAAAGCCATTGCTCCGTGTCCTGTCACTCCATGCCCTTGTCCAAAGCCCCTCTCCAGCTTTCCTGAAATAATGTTCAATTCTTATAAACAACTTTGTGATTTATGATAAGCTTAAACAACTTCTGAAACTGCCCTTGAAGATTGCCCTGTGTGGGTGTAGAGACAATATGAAAATATTTGATAAGGCCTTTTCTGAAACAGGGTTGGTAAAGTCCTACAATTAGTGTGGCCATAATATCTGCTTTGGGATGAAACTGAAACAAAATAGACCCTTTTAGTGTCACTATGATAAACAACATTTCCACACCATGGTCAAGCCACAGATGAGGAGTAAAGGGGAGGGGAGAGATCTGACGAGCCTACCAGCAGTGTAATCGTTGCAGTGCAGTTACCAACAGATAATGCTTGATCAGATTTCAATGAATTAAAAATGAGGTGTGTGGCAGCTAGAGACAACAGCCGTGACGTAGATTAAAGTGGGATCTCTTCGTTTACAGAAGGTTCAACTGCTTTATTAGGGTTAGACCTTCATGCCCTCATCTATGAACCAGAGTGTGTTTTCAGCATGGAAAACTGCAAACACTTGGAAGAATCAGTGTCAATTTTGTGTATGTGGATGATTTTTTTTGTGATAAAGTAATCAAAGTGAAGAGGTTTTGGTTTTAACTGACTGGGATTAATTTTATTTTTTGTGTGTGTGGAATTCATATAAAATGTTGGGAGGTTTCTTGTTAATGGAAGTGTCAGTTGGTGATGGATTTCATGGAATTCTACCACACTGGATTTTTTTTGTTTTATTGTTATAGTCACTGTGGTTGTTATAGCTGAAATGAATGTGTTAATTTGTCTTTTATTTCTTAATTTTGTACTTTATCCTTTAGCTGCTGAAGAAACACTAGTAAATGTAGAGAACTTGAAAGCTGTGACCATAGAAATATTTAACTTTTTTGTTTTTTTTTTACTTTCAAAGTTATTTTGAGTTTATCCTGAACTTCAATTTTTTTTATTTTTTTTTTTTTATTGGTTTGGTTAAAAGGTTTGTCCAGAGGGGTCGCATTTATCCGGTTTGACAAAAGGTCAGAAGCAGAAGAGGCAATTACAAATTTCAATGGTCACAAACCCCCAGGTTCCTCCGAACCCATTACAGTGAAGTTTGCAGCCAATCCTAACCAGAACAAAAATGTGGCACTGTTATCGCAGCTGTGTCATTCACCAGCTAGACGGTTTGGAGGGCCAGTGCATCACCAGGCGCAAAGATTCAGGTAGGTTAGGAAGAATAATGCATTTAAGGCTGTCCTACTATTCCCTTGTCCGTCTGGGAAACTGTACTCTTGCAGCTGTGCAGTAATATCTTCCTTGCAGCATGTGTGAATGAAAATGTAGTGTACTATATGTCCTGCAGTGTTATGTAAATAAATTGTTGAATTAAACGATAATGAAAGTAAAATCTTACTTGTAAAATTTATATTGAAGTTAATGATGTAAAGGTACGTACACTACGGTGTCTGTTGCTACAGTTGAGTGTATAGTGAGGTGATAGGAAGTAGCAGATTCCATATGGATATTGGTAGATGCCTGTCTCAACAGATCTCCATTCTGTCGTCCGTATATCTGAACGCAGATATAATTTAGCAACTGAAAGCTCTGAACCATTGGTTCCAGCAGGGAGGTGTCATAGTGAAATAGGAAAACCTGATTTCTGATTAAGAGATTCTGTGGGATTTCTTCCTGTTTCTTGAGCTGTGCAGTCTTTCCTTGAGTCCTCGGAAGTTTGGTAAGATTATCGAGTAATTGGAATGTACTGTCTGCTTCCAGAGCTGTGAAAGGTGTCGTGTATTTTGCCTTTGGGAATTGCCTTAGTTGCTTTGAATATGAATTACTTGAATTTGAATTGCCTTAGTTGCTTGAAGGAGGGTGTTGATACTTAGACTCTGCTCTGGAAAATGCATTATATTTACTGTCTTGCAGATAAGTAATTGGCCTGTATGAGACGTGTTCAGGAGAGATTCTGAGAGTAGTGTTTCCCTGCTGAGAATACTTATTTTTTTCTCTTTCTCCTCTGAGGTATCCTATTAGCTCAGCAAAATTAGACTGAGAACTCGAATAGCTTTTTGCAGTGCTGCTGTTCCCACTATTGCTTTGACCTTTCCGTAACGCTTTAGCTTAGCGTTTTCGGAACAGCTAAGTGTAATGTGTCTCCAGTGAGAAGCAGTAAATTACAGTCATCTGATGGTTTACACTAAGGGTGATTGGACAGGTTGCCCAAAGAGACTGTGGAGTGTTCATCCTTGGAGATGCTCAAAACCTGGCTGGAATGGACCTGAGCAACCTGCTCTTGGTGCCCCTGCTTTGAGCGGGAGGTTTTTCTAGAAGATATCACAGAATCACAGAATGTCAGGGATTGGAAGGGACCTCAAAGGATCATCTAGTCCAACCCCCCTGCCAGAGCAGGACCACCTAGATCAGATCCCACCAGAACGCATCCAGGCGGGTTTGGAACATCTCCAGAGAAGGAGACTCCACAACCTCTCTGGGCAGCCTGTTCCAGTGTTCTGTTCCCCTTACTGGGAAGAAGTTCCTCCTCATGTTTAAGCGGGACCTCTTATGTTCCAGCTTAGATCCGTTTCCCCTTGTCCTATTGTTGGATGCCACTGAGAAGAGCCTGGCTTCATCCTCCTGACAGTCACCCTTTCCATATTTATAAACATTAATGAGGTCCCCCCTCAGTCTCCTCTTCTCCAAGCTAAAGAGACCCAGCTCCCTCAGCCTTTCCTCAGAAGGGAGATGCTCCACTCCCTTCATCATCTTCATGGCCCTGCGCTGGACTCTCTCCAGCAGTTCCTTGTCCCTCTTGAACTGAGGGGCCCAGAACTGGACACAATATTCCAGATGTGGCCTCACCAGGGCAGAGTAGAGGGGGAGGAGAACCTCTCTTGACCTACTAACTATACTAACTACACCCCAGGATGCCATTGGCCTTCTTGGCCACAAGGGCACATTGCTGGCTCATGGTCATCCTGCTGTCCACCAGGACCTCAGATTCCAGAGGTCTCTGCCATCCTCAGTCGTTCTGTTTCTCTTCCACTGTAGCCCAGGCAAGTTAAACGCAGGCAGCTCCTCAAACAAGATATCACTTCCCTGAAGCACTCATCCAGATCTCCACACCCAAACCTTCAAAGCCGTACCAACGAATGAAATTCTACGTTGTTGGCAGTTAGGTGAACTATTAAAAAATTTACATATCTGTTTCTCGTGTCAGCCAGGGCTTCAAAGTGTCCTGTCCTAGAAAAATCTTGATGCTTATATTTCATACTTTCACTCTTAATGTAATTGGTCATTTTCATCATCATTCTTCCCCTTAAAATTTATAGCAGAATTAGGGTTCATCAGAATAAGCAGTACAAATAATATTTGCATCCATAATTAAGATAGCAAATGACTTTAATTCTGTCCTGTAGTGGTCACCCCGTAATGGTAAAAATGATTAGTGTATTTATGTTAATAGTTGCAGGTGAAACTAAATTTTACTGACCAGCTGGAAGTCTAGATTCATAGAGCCATTTAGCTTGGAAAAGACCTTTGAGATGAGTCCAACCATTAACCTCACACTAGCAAGTCCACCACTAAACCATGCCCCGAAGCACCACATCTGCATGTCTTTTGAATACCTCCAGAGATGGTGACTCAACCGCTTCCTCGGGGAGCCTGTTCCAGTGCTTGACAACCCTTTCAGTGAAGAAATTATTCCTAATATCCAAGCTAAACCTCCCCTGGTGCAACTTGAGGCTGTTTCCTCTCATCCTGTCACTTTTTACCTGGGAAAAGAGACCCAACACTCACCTCGCTAGAACCTCCTTTCGGGTAGTTGTAGAGAGCGAGAAGGTCTCCCCTGAGCCCCCTTTTCTCCAAGCTGAACAGCTCCTTTGGTGTTAACTGGAGGTGTTTCTAGTGAGTGTTCGTTAAAGGGTGCCGAACTTAATGAGTTGGAATTGTTCATACCGTGGTAAAGCTCAGGGACCTTAGCTTGGACCGTGTCGTGTTTCTTTTGTCGTGAAGAAGACACGATGAAAGGATAAGCTGCTTCCAAAGAGCTCATGGTCTGTAAAAATTACAGTTGTGGTCTCTGCTACGTAGAGGTTGAATACTTAAACTGATATTTTGATTACACTTCATCTCATTCCATCATATCCCTGTAAATCTGGGATTAAGCCTTTAGTATCTGTAATTTGTAATTATTAAATTCCTACAGATATCACTCAGGCTCTTTGTTTAATATTCTGTTAATCCTTTGTAGTTCCTGTGGTGTTTGTGGCTCACATCAGGAACTGGTCTTAATGCCTCATCCCAGTGGAGCGCTGGGTGGCCCTGCCAGTTCTGAGACATGCTCCAAAGTGCTCTCTGTTTCCCTCCAGGACAAATGATGCTGCAGCATGGGATTGTTTTGGGAGGACAGATAAAGCATCTGGGGCCAGGGTTGCTTTCGAGCAGAAGATTTGTTTACTTGAGCAGAATAGCAGATCTTTAGGTGTTGAACTCTGATGAAATTAAGGAGTTTGGCTCCTAAAGCTTGAGAAGGCTGGCCAAGGCCCCTAGAAGTGCTGTGCTTTTACAGTTCACCAGAGCTTTGTGCTCGAAGAATGCTTTTTCAGATCTCAAAAATATTCCCAGTTCAGCTGGTTTTGCTTTCAGACTTGTTCAGAGCTGGAGCCAGTTGCTGTTTATTTTAATGGCCGTATATCTGTTGATATCAGAGTCCACGAGTTAGGTCCAGAGTGCCTGAAGGAGAACTGTTACTTCTTGATAATTTTGGATCAGGAGGAAAGGTGAGAGGGCTCTGGAGGGTTTAACCCGGTCACTGACATTATTGCTTGGACCGCCCACGCATCTCTTTTGTTTCACTCCAGTGGAATTGTTCAAATTTTCAACTTTTAAACCAACTTGTAGTTTGGGTGTGAGTTGCCTGTTGAGAATGCCACAGAAGAAAACATTTCATCCAGAGTAGTATTTAATCAAACTTCTAGAAGAAGGTGGTACTTCAACCCCTTCGTTTGATTGCTGCTGCTCTCTGATACGTGGCTGTTTGATTTAATACCCCGTTACTTCAGGCCTAAAGCTTGTGTCACTGACACCCACCAAGACTTGTTTGTGCACAGTAGATCCTTCCTGTCCGTGTCGGGGTGTCGGAGAAAAAGTTGCTTGTGGGGAACACAGTGGACATGACCAGTATCAGCGTAGCTGAACTCCTGCTCTTTGTGGAACTATTCGAAAATAAAAAGATGCCAAGCTCATGTGTGAAGGAAACTTAGGTTAATATTAAAAATAATATTACTGCTGATTAGCGTTATGTGAGCTGTGGGGTTGCTCCCACCTGTGATGCTGTATGTACCTGTTCTCAGATTGCAGTGAAAAGAATTCAGCAAAAATAATTTATAGGACTTTCATAGAACTAAAAAGAAATTGTTTTCGTTAGTGTCGCTTTTGCAAATTTCTTTTTTGATGGCTGCTTTTTAACCAGCCAGAAACTTTTGGGAGAAGTTTCTTTTTCCTGTGAACTTGCAAAGTGTAACTTCGTGTTAGAATCGTGTTAGATGTGGGTAAGAGGAATGTTACGTGAGTTTCGTGTTAGAATCATGTTAGATGTGGGTAAGAGGAATGTTACGTGTGAGGTGAGATTTCCTACAGTTGTTGTTTTTTTTTGGTTTTGTGGTTTTTTTTTTTTAAATTACTGTTCGAGTCTTTTAGGGGTGTTTTTACCCTGTTTTTTTTTTTGTCTATTTGTTTTGTGCGTTTTTTTGTATAAACTTGTTTTCGTGAGTCAAAGCCAAAGAACAGAGGTACTTACTGTTTTAAATTATTTTGCCTGTAGTATGCATGTAGATTTGTTGTCTTCCTGTGCTTAACCCCCAGCTGCTTTTCTGTAAGTGTTTCCATTCCTTGATGGCCTGTTGATCTGGGCTTGTGGGCAGAGCCCAAGGCTGTGCAGGAAGCAGGCTGAGCGCTACACTGACTGCTGGAACCAATGTCACACAATTCTGAGCTTAGTGATTTTTCTGCTCTCGTACACGTGAGCAGGAACCCAAGACTGGTGATCTGTTGAGACGGAAACTTTGCAGGTACTGAGATAAATACATCCTACCGGGTCATTACTCAAATGGAGACAGGCTACAGAGCTGAAGGTGTCTGTCAGAAACAGTAAGCCTATAGAGCACGCAAACACAGGAACATTTTTATATAAAAGCAAAAGCAAAACTAAATAATAGATACGTCACATCATCACATCACACGGATCAGTGCGTCTCATTCACGTTCTGATATTCTTAACTGCTTTTTCAGTTTTGCTATAGTACAAGGATTCCCAAACTTGGATTTGCATGGGGCTGGCCAGCAGTGGCAGCGGCAGGGGGAGGGCAGCCCGAGCTCCGGCTGAGCCCAGGCAGCCAGCAGCAGTTAGGGTGTGATGGAGGGGAAGGGCTCTGTGCCACCGAGACTGCCCCTGCCCTGGGGACAGGAGGTTCTGATAGCTCAGGTGTCCAAGGGAATGAGCTCTGAGCACCAGGGAGCCTGGGGTGGGAGAGATGGTGACTGTTCTCTTGTATGAGTACATCAACCCAAGTGCCACACTAAGCAAGAGCTGCCGTGTCCGCGTGTCCATGTGTGCTGCTGCAGCTCTGCTGCCCTTCCTCCTGAGCCCTCCCTTCTCTGTAGGAGACGGCAGCAGCTCTTATCTATGTGCAGGGCAAGAAAAAGTCAGTGGGGAAGTGTTTGGCACTTAATGCAGCGTTCACTGCCCAGACATCCCTTCCCTGTTTTCTCCAGGTCAGCAGAGAATCAGGAACTGCCACCGCCATGTTCTTGGCAGAGAGCAGCACGTGTACCACTTTCAAGTGGTTTGCATATCACCAGTGGTACACCACAGTTTGGGAACCCCTGGTATAGTATCATTATATTTCTACAATCACGTGACCTCACGTTTTTCAATCATGCATAAGCACGAGGGATCAAATTGAGTTTTTTACCTTAACTTTCACATTTCCTGACCTTTGAGTGCTTAGCTGTGCAACTGTAATATTGCATTAAAATATTCTGAAGCTTTGACTTTCTAGAAAAAGATAAAGGGAGTTAGAGATGTGGGCTATAGGAGAAAAGAAAATAATGCAAAACAAGACATAAAAAGGAGAGTTTTTTTGCTTTTTGTTATGCAAAGCATAAATACTGGTGGGTAACTATGCAGGAGGCAGGGTTTGGGAAGAGTGGGTAGGTGATTTAAAAAATCCAGTTCAGAAAAGTCAGATAAGTTTTCCTAGTATGACGGTGGTGTAAAATGAATGAGAAGAAAACCATACATACTTATTGAAATTGTGAAACTGTGTACTTAAATGGAGTTTGCTGTGTTGATGTTTGAAAGCTACTGCAGTTAGAATATTTGCATAACCAGTATTAAGGAGTAAAAACCTGAGATTGAAATCCTGCAGCTAGAAACATGGGGCATCCCGGCCGCTGAGAATCGACTGAGAAGGTGCTAACATTTCCTCAGCTGTCTCAGAGCTGCGAGTCTGCGTGACTGGGGCGTACTTATGTAGTAGCCTGCTGGTTTGGGGAGTGTTTGCCTGCTCCTGCTGCCTTATGGTGGAAAAGGGGGGGGTAGGTTTTGTTCTGTTCCACAAAATTTCAATTAATACACACATCATCTGCTCCTAAAAAGAAAACACTCCTTCTGCTCTGCCTCCCCCCGCCATCCCGCCAGCAAAACCCACAGAAACCCTTTGACTTAGCATGTTGGGAACTCTTACTTTAGAGGCAAGAGAAGTAGGATATGGGATGCAAAGTCCTTGAGTGGAATAAGTGGGAGATGCCTGAGGATGGCGTGAAGCGAACTGGGGCCTCTGGGGAGGCGTTGCTGGTTACCCACGCTCGAGCACTGCTGCACTGATGCCACGGGGCGCTCCTCACAGCCTAGCTGGGTTTGAGATCAATGTAGGTCCCCTGGGAAGGTGGTCACATAGTCTTGCCATGCAACTGTTGTGTTGCGTACCTATTTCTGAGGATAGTTCCCTGTTGACAAAGTAGTTGGAATACTTAACTTTTTTTTTCCTGGCAGCTGTCAATTTGATTGTCAATTTGAACGGGGAAACGTTTCTTTCTGGCGGTTTTGATGTCCATGTAGAAAATATTCATTCTCAGTTGCTTCCCATTCAAGTTGATTTGCTGAATTGAATTGAACTTTTACATGAAATATTGTGCTTTTTATTTGCTAGGTTCTCTCCTATGGGTGTAGATCACATGAGTGGGCTTTCTGGTGTAAATGTTCCAGGAAACGCATCTTCTGGCTGGTGTATCTTCATCTACAACCTTGGTCAAGATGCTGATGAGGGAATCCTCTGGCAGATGTTTGGCCCCTTTGGTGCGGTTACCAATGTGAAAGTTATTCGAGATTTCAACACCAACAAGTGCAAAGGTTTTGGTTTTGTGACCATGACAAACTATGAAGAAGCTGCAATGGCCATAGCAAGTCTTAATGGCTACCGCCTGGGGGACAAAATCTTACAGGTTTCCTTCAAAACCAACAAGTCCCACAAATAACTTGCTCGTGCTTTTTGTATGGAATAGATAATGGAGTGACAGAAGTTGAAACATTTTTGTTAGTGTAAAACTCATTTTGCGCCAATTTTCACAAGTGTTTGTCTTAGTCTAAATGAGAAGTGAAAAAGGTTTTATATTCTGGGATGCAACTGACATGTTCAAATGTTTGAAATCCCACAATGTTAGACCAATTTTAAGTTCCTTTAAGTTATTTCATTTAAAACATGTTAAAAATCCCCTGAAATCTTAAGTAGATTGCATTAACTAGACCCTCTGGATGGTGGTAAAATTGAAGCATGCTTTCACTTATGAGACTAACATTTGTTCCATTGAATGTTGTCTGCAAAAACTGGAATATTCTGAAAAATATCAGGCTGAATTCATTAATTTTCTTGGTTTTTATGTTGTTTTTTCTACCCATTCCCCTGACCTTCTCTACCCCAGCCGCGGTAATATGGAAGAAAAGTTGAGAAATACTAATGTTTTAGTTGACAGTAAATTGTTTGATGAATGAATATTCATTACTACGTATCTAGTTGAGAATTAGGCTTTTTAAAGTCAAGGTCTTGTAAGTAGTAGCATGCCAGCATAACTTTTAACACCATTGAGGAGGTAAGTTGCACGCTGAGCTGTCAAATTCAAAGGTTTTTAGAAACATGACTTTTAAAGCCCACTTTCTAATAGGAATGGACCAAAGAGTTTCAAAGAAACTCCGGGAAGATTTCAGAGTCAAAATGAAACTCCAAAAAGCGAGTGTGAAGATATGTTGTTACTTTATCAAACTGAATCTCTTCTGTCCAAATATTTAATGCATGGGGCACTACTTACTGGTACATTATAATGCAGCAAGATACTTACTCATTTTCAAAGATCATTGTAGTTTGAATTCCTTTGGTAGTTCTATTTTGTAAAAAGAAAAAAAAAAAAACAGTTATAAACATTTGAGCATTGTATTTCTCGCATCCCTTCTAATGAGTGCTAGATTTTTCTATTTTAATAGGATTTTGTTTTGACAACTAGCTTTACTTATTGAACACTCAGCAGAAAAGTACTTACTACTTGCAAGTTAGATATTAACAAAAAAACCCTTTGATTTGTAGATTTAAAGATTAATCCCCCAAGTTTTCTGCAGACTGCCTTGAAACTTTGAGTTGTTCTGTTTCTGTTAATTTTCTTTTGCTTTTTTGTGTTTTTTGTTTGTTTTTACTTTTGCATTTAAGAACATTAAATTTGATTTTGTTTTGCTCAAATTTTGTTTTGTTTTTTATTTTCTGTTATTTTTTTGCACAAAGTGTCCAGCTTTCAAAGAGTGTTGTCTTACAGAACTGTAGTTCCTCTTTCAGAGTTTTAAGTTAACTCCTTTGACAGATGAGTAGAAGAAAAAGGGTTGTGAATCAAGAGCACTACAATAAATCTGTCGCGTAGAAGCTACGTGCCACAGGCTGGTGTGACCCTGCAGGTGTTCTTTGGTAGGAAACCTGAACAGGATTCCTCTGGCAGGTAAAAGCTACGTCAGGAATGCTGCGCACGACTAGAGATTTGGCCTGGGCAACCTTCAGGTCTAGTGGTTATGTTCAGTTGGTAGAGCAAACGCCAAAATGGGGAGAGTGGCAGTTTTACTGCAGTGTCTCATTTTTTCACGTGAACCTCTACCAGTCCCAACGCTTATTTTCAAATTCCAGAGGCTGTTCCATGCCTGCTTGTATCGCTCCGTCCCTTGTATCGCCGACCTTGCCTTGTCTTCCCAATCGTTTCTTCTCTTCCTGCAGGAAGATTTGCAGCCTTGCACGGCCTGAAGAAGTCTGTGTCAGCATCTCTGCACGCTGCTGCTGAGAAGTGGCTGGAGTTGCTGCCCATCTCCATTAATTACCTTCAGCACTGTCTAGGAAATGCTGATATTTCTGGAACGACCCGTGGCATACTTACAGCCGTATAGATAGGCCTTGGCACAGTGAGCAGCCTCCTGCTGGTTTTAAGCTGGTGTGCCATGAATGTAAGTGGGATTTTTGCCATTAATACATTCAGCCTTGCCTTTCCTGCCAGCCCTGTTCACTCTGCCATCTTTTGAGAAGCACGGTGGTCTGTAAAACGGTGGCTGAGACAAAGCCACCAACCAACTCCCGCCGCCCAAAGTGTGCTTTCCGACTGTCTATTCCGGTGTCTGTTCCCCATGTTTCCACCAATTTTATCATCATTCATTTATCACTTCAACAAACACTTCTTCTCTGTGTTCAAGGAGAGATTCAGAAGCATTCAGGGGATTTCTCTGAATTAAAACCGCGTAGTGTAGAGAAGTCCTCTTACTGTGTCCCATCACCTCGTAACCTCATGCTGTCCTGCTCCACAGGAGTGGGTCTGCGGTCGTTTCTGATTTCCTGTCCTTCTCTCTTGCCTTATTTCATGTAAGATTAACTTTCAAACCAAATGAGAGTTGCTGTTTTATCACAGCATTTAGATGGGGGTTCAGACTTCCAACAAATGACACCCTAATTATGACTTTCCATCAGTAATCATTACGAGCGTGCTGGCCACTGCAACCATATCAGCGAGATCACTGGCTGTCACTTTTTTAAAAAACTCTTCCTGGAGGCTTTTTGACATGTGACTGCTTCCCTTTTTTCCCTCTCTTGTTCTTTGCTAAATAAGAAGGAATCACAGGATACTGTTTCAGTAGTGGTTTGAAATCATCTCTTTTGGGAAACATCTGATACCAGCTTCCTTTGATAGTTGTTCTGAAAATAGTTACCAGGCAATTTACGTGAGCAAAGCGCTGCTGCTTGAGTCAGGAAAACGGGGAAGAAAAATCCGCTGAAAATATCAAGAGCTGATACCAGAAGAAGTGGATGGTCTGCATCATTCTGACAGTCAGTATATATTTGTTAGAAATAGCTCAAGTCAAGAAGAAACGTGTAGGTATTCTTAATGCTTTTGGTCCTAAACAATAGCCCGTGCATCCTACTAGTAAAGACCAAGAGGAGACTTCTGGAAGCAGAAGCTGGAGTCTAACAACAAGTAATCTGCCAGCAGTTTTTCTACCCAGAAGGTATGAGCAACTGGTTTCCTTAACCATGTCATCCAGCATACCCTCCTTTGAAGCTCTCCCTTGAACACACCTGTTTCAAGAGAGGTTTTGGCCTTTTCATCCTCAGGGAGTTTAAACTCTGGATACATTCTGCTTTTTCATCCTTTAATTTGGTGAAATATAGATGTTTCTTTCAGGTGGTACTTCTGTCTCAGTCAGTGCTTACAGGATCTCTGTAAAACCAAAGGTCTGACTCTTACATTTCCCGTGAGATGCAGTAGGCTCCGTAAGGCAGAGAATAACCAGGAAGTCTTGGTTGCTGGATTAGGACGTGATGATCAAATTTTGAAGACCTGGATTTGATGATCTGTACTGGAGATGTGCTTCAGGAAACAGCTGCAATGGGAATGTTTTGGGGTTCTTTATAACAGGTTAAAAGCCTTGCAGGACACCCCCAGGTACCTGCTTCTGAAGGATCAGGGATAATTCCTGATGAAAACACATACTTAGGGCCACGCTGCAGGGTCTTGTGTGTAGAAGTGGAAGAGCATTACCATACCTCAGGGGATAGGGCATGTTTTTTTGTGCCAGCATTTCTCAAGGGACCAATCTGGCTTTCCTGAACCTGCAATTTGAGCAACACCCATTTCGTTTTTACACTTACTTGATCAGACAGACAAATATGGTGGCAAAATGAGAAGTTTATCTGCCTATCTTTAAAAAGAAAAGAGGAGAGAAGGCTTTTTCCTCCATCTCCTTACAGTCAGGGTAGCTAGCCTCAGAGCTGAAGGTCTGCCAGTTGGGAATACGAACGGCAAAACCACTGATATCGCTGCCAGGCTTCAGCTGCGCTCCATTTGCAAACGGACCTGTTGGCTGTGTGTCCGAAACTCACGTGCTTTCACAAAGGGCTTGTCTGTGTGTGCATGCCTGGTGCTCCAGCAGAAGCTGGCCTTTGCTTTTGTAGCTTTTTCCGGCGGTGAGTCACCCTGGGATTTCACTCCGCTGGCCCCGAGCCATCTCGTTTGGAAGGCAGTCCGCAGATCCGTCACCTTTGAGCCCTGGCTTCTGTGGCAAAAACAGGACTTACTGTGCGAGGGCAGGATCAGACGGTGGGGCTGGATCAGCCTTCAGGACTTTGAACGTTAAGCCAATTATCTTTTTCAGGAAATTTGACCAGCTGTTGGGTGTCTGGTGTTATTTTAATTATTGCTTTTTCACTTCTAGCTTTAGAATCACTTTGGTTTATCTTTGTATTTCTTTTGAAAGGGAAGCTCTGCTGCCCTGACTTGGTACCTGTCCTTCTCTCAGCTTTTTTCAAATACTTGTTCTATCTGGCATTTCAGGAAGGTTCTTCCCAGGCCAAGGCATGGCTGCTAAACACGCTTGTTACGGAGCTGCTTCCAAAATTGCACGTGAGCAGTCTTCGTTCTTTACAAGACTGCGGAGTTTCACTCTAAAAATGAGACAATGCCTAGTTAAGAGCAAAACTGTCCCGATTGTGGTTGAAGACCAACTCCAAACTTCTCTGAAGATGTTCTGGGTTTTAGTTGTGTTGTATAGAATAAAAAAAAAGCGGATCAGGTTTTCTTAGTATGTAAAAAAAATTGAATTTTATCAAAATTTAAATTCTTGGAAGGCTTTATTCAGACTTGGTCTTTTCCACTCAGTTGATTTATTAATAAGTTTTATTCCTGTTCAGTAACTTACATGTGCTTCCCAGATTTCCACTACGAAGGGAATTCACCCCTGTGCAGAAAGCTAACCACAAGGCTAATCACAGTTTAAACCTTCTGTTAACCATTTGCAGATAGGGAAATTTCACAGTAAATACCGAAAAGGAAACTCTAATGTTGCTGTGTGCTTTGTATAAGCTGGCAGAGGCAAGGGCAGTTCCTTCAGAGGAGGAGATCGCAACATCAGAAAAGCTCTAAACGTGCAGAATCAAAGCAGCTTAGCGCCTTTAGTTCTCCTGTGATTCCATTTTAGACGGTGTCTGTGTACTGAAGCGTTGGATTTATTTTGTTCTTCAAGCTACATCATCATAAAGTTTGGTTTGCTCGAGATGCTGCGCTCCACTCTTCTGTGTAGAGGGAGGGAACCCGAGCGCCAATGCAGATAATGCTGCCTCCTGTGCCATGCTTGTGCCAATCCCTTCGCTTCTGCTCTAGGTCTGGGACTGGGAAGGACTTGAGGATCCACCTTTTAGGGTGGAAGAAGTCGGGAAACGCCGCTGTCCGGAACGGCGTCCCCGCAGTGGGGTGTGTGCGCACACCTTTGGCCTTCCCTGTGGTGGGTTGTGGTTTTGCAGTACATCCGTGTCGTGGCAGCATGGAACCCACTGAGAACCCCGAGAGACACAAGCCACTAAAATAGGATAAATTTCTCACTGCAGTGAGTACTAGTTGGTCGGTTTATGGTCACACCTTTGTCCAGATGACCAAAGGGTGTCGGTACGGAGAGGACACCTGTTTTTGTAGGGGTGTTGAATGTTGTAGTAATGTTGTTTATACAGAGCAATTAAAAGTCTTTCAAAAAAAAAAAAATTGGCTTAGCTACATTTATAGAAAGAATGTTCAGCAGTCAAAACCAAAATGATGAAATAACTGTGAAGGTGATCCATTATTTTGAACGTTAAGTTTTGGAAATGAATAATCCCTAAGGCCCTTCAACATTTATTATAATTTTACATTGCTTTAATGTTCTGGGTAAGGTCAATAAAGTAGAGATTCTTCAAATATTTCAGAATATTTTTTTTTTTGTCAGTGTATTCTAAACTGTAATACCTAAAGTTACTTTTGGATAGTTGATAGTTACATATGTGCTTTTAAAAAAACAAACAAACAAACTTGGAGAACGTCCCCACGCTTACTTTTTTAACAAAATAAACAGGTCTTACAATAAAATAAACCATTTATTGGAAGTAGGTCCTGTCCTATCTGCCTGCAAAATGTTAGGGTTCACGGGAGGTTTTTAACATGCAGCTTTTTGTGAACTACTGGCGGTGATCTCACGGTTCAATCACAAAAGTCAAATCCAGAGCAAGTTGTCCCGATACTACCTCTGCCATAAGGTTACCGTGGTTTTGACTTCCATCATGAGAAAACTCGTCCTTTGTGACCCTGTCAGTGAAGCACCTTCTTGTAACGTTTCTACTTTTAGGCTCCTAAGAATAGCTGTAGAGTGAAGGGACCAAATTCACATTTAGCGTAAGAAAACGCGG